TTATTACGAAATCTGGAGTACGTGCGCACGCAGGCACGCGCGCGGTCATGCACGGCACGGTGCCTTCACGTCTGCATCGCTGCCTCACGTGTGCTCGGCAGCACGTGGGCATGCCCTGCGTCCGCAGCCCCGGCCCAAGGCGGGCCTGTGACGGCCAGCGGGCTCGGCCTCGCCCGTGCCCCGCCGCCCGCTCGCCGCGCAGCATTCCCTCCCCCTCGCCATTCCATCCCGCCCTCCTCCACCCCCCTCCTCCACCCCCATCCTCGTCCCCCTTCCGCCCCTGAGATCCGACGCCGCGAAGAGAAATGCGGCACCGTGAAGGACCACGGGGCCACGGCCCCCTAGAGGACCCCTTCTTTCTGCAGCGCTCCCCGGGCCGGAACGGTCCATGAGGGCCCTGAGGCCAGAGACCGGGCAGACGCGCCCGGTATGAAAGAATTGCGACGCCTTGATCTCAAGGGGCGACCGAACGCGATGCCCCGATGCCCGCCCTCAGCGTCCGGCTCGCTGCGGCGGCCGCGGCGTTTCCCGCGGCGGCGGGTGCTGGCGCGGCGCTGGAGGTGTCGTCACCGACGACGACGACGACGACGACGACGACGACGACGACGCCGACGGCGATGGCGACGGCGACGGCGACGGCGACGACGACGGCGGCGACGACGACGACGACGACGGCGACGGCGATGGCGACGGCGACGGCGACGGCGACGACGACGGCGGCGACGACGACGACGACGACGACGACGACGGCGACGGCGATGGCGACGGCGACGGCGACGGCGACGACGACGGCGGCGACGACGACGACGACGACGATGATGACGGCGACGGCGACGGCGACCGCGGCGGCTAAGCGACGGCGACGGCGACGACGACGACCAAGACGACGACGACGTTGGTGGCCGTCGAGCCACGGCGCTTGCCCCCCTGTTGAGGCTGCGATACACCAGCGGCCTGCCCCAGATTCCTACATCCTACAGTCGGGGCCCTGAAGAAGGAACCCTTTTCGTTGGGGAGGGGCTCCGCGTTCCTTAAGTGTTTCGCAGCGTGCCTCAGGTTTTCCTTAGGTTTTCGATACGAAATCGAAGTTCAACTTATGGAAAATTGGGGCCTCATTACTTATTTAGGGTTCCTTAGGTCAACGCCCCGACGGTACTCAGAGGCCCGCCCCCCACGAGTGCCCCCCATCGGCCCCTTGAGCGCCGACGCCGGGGCCTCGTGGCACACGGTGCAGGACGGCGGCCCGCCTAGACCTCCGAGCCCATGGTTCCTCCTCCTCCTCCTCCTCCTCCTCCTCCTCCTCGCTCGAGGGTCGTGAGTGTGAGAGCGTGCGTTCGTGTTCGCCACCTCTCGCAGGGCAGCCCGTCGACGTGGCCGGACGCTTCACTGCCGCCTGCACGCGCGCCATTTGAGGCAGTAGCGCAGTGGCTTCACGTTGGAGTCAGCGGAGTTTGGCATCCTGCTGCTGTGTCCGCTCCCCCTCCTCCCGTCAAGAAGAAGAGTTTCGCTAGAGGGTTCAAACAGAGGTTAAAAAGGTGCACGAAACCCAGACCCACTGGAGTCATGCTATAATCACGACGGACGGTCGTTCTCATCTATTGTCAGCCTCTTGGGGCCTCTTTGACGAGCCTCGGGACCGTCAACAAAAACGACTCGGGATACAAAAAACCGGTCCCAGGGAATGTGTCGAGAGACCTCTGGGGGTCGACGCTGCCAAAAGCAATACCCAAAAACAATGTGTGTTATGTGTGTTTTTTAATGTTTCTAATTTCTTAATATTATATTATATATATATATATATATATATATATAAAAAAAAAAAAAAAAAAAAAAAAAAAAAAAAAAAAAAAAAAAAAAAAAAAAAAAAACTACGTCGGGGGCCTCGGAGAGGACCACCGAAGAGTCCCAGAGGGGGTAAGGGCAGGGAGCCCGAGACCGCCCCCGTCGGGTGCCCGTTTCGCCTCAGACCTCTCTCGCAGCGTGCTCCAGCATCGCGTCCTCGCCTCCAGTTCGGCGGCGGGGCCGCCCTTCCGTTCCTTCCCCCCCCGCCCCCCTCAATCTTTTCCCCCCCCTCCCCTCCCTTCCCCCGCCGCTCCTCCCCCGCCCCCTCCCCTCCGCATCCCGCCCTCCGCCGCCCCCCCCCTCTCCAAGCCCCCTTCCCTCCCCGCCCCCCCCCCCCCCCACCCCACCCTGTCACGTCGAATAAGGAGTTGGCCGTTTTCGGTTCGCGAGAGGGCGTCGCGGCCGTCATTTTTGCGGGTCCAGGTCCGTCGGTTTCGGTCCGGGGCCGTTTTCACGAAGGGGAGGTTTGCTACAGGGAGGTCTGTCCACCGCCGATCAGTGCCGGCTACACTTTTGGTCCGGACGGTCGCGACTTTCTGGCAAAACGTACATGAAGGTGCGCATGGCCGCGTCTCGGCCTCCTACTCCTCGACCACCGTTGCTGCTATTTGGGTGCTTTGCTGCGGTAGTGTGTGTCAATCTATGTTGTGTTCCTCGATTTCGGCCTCCCCGGTCCGTTGCCGGGCCCCGGGAAAAGCAAAGAACGGGCCCGAGGGGGCAAAACTATCTCGAGGCAGGAGTCGGGACCCCCTTGGGTCCGCGGGTCGAAAAAAAACACTTAGGATCGGGCGAAGAGAACTATGCACATGCACCGATCCTGACAACGCCCATCCTTGACCCAGGATCGGTGCATATACCTTCCTGGCCAAGGTAGGAGGGCGTATACACCGATCCTGGGCTCAGGATGGTCCTGGCCAGAATCGGTGTATGTGCATAGTTCTCTTTCCTCTATTAGGAGGATGTCTGGGTGGACCTCTTCCCTTGGACCGGCTTCTCGTCGTCATGAGTTGTTCTGTCGACGGCCTCAGGCCTGGCACGGGCCCCCACGGGGCCGAAAGCGGCCAGGCACCCCCCGTCGTGATAGAGCGCGCGCATCAAGCAAGAAATCAGCCTGCCAGCTGAGTGCACCACAGAAATGCCTTAACTCGCGATGGCCCTGGAGACCCGCAGAAGGCTCGGAGACCGTCACACCGAGGGCCCCTAGGTTTTCCATATCGCAGGGGGCACTATGGCATGCACTCACTTCATGCATTCGCGGCGAGAGGAGGTGGAGGTGGCGTGTTGTCGTCTGTTCGGGTTTTATATTGGGGGGACAGCGTCCCAGGAGACAGTTGTTCTCATCCATTCGCGATAACCGGCGTGACCGTGGGGGGCCAAGGGGTGGAGGGGGCCCGTCACGTCACCACGTTTCGCGCCGGAGCCGTCTGGGAATGCCCAGGAATGTCTAATCCGCAGACGGCGCCGTCGCGATGCGTGACGTGACCAGGGGAGGGGTGGAGGGGGGGGGCGGGGCTGGTGACGGGCGTTATCGTCTTATTTCAACATGGGCTCGAGGTTCGAGGTTCCATCGGTTGGAGCCTCTGCACCCGGAGGCGCGGCAGAAGCCTTGGAGACCGTCGGCGATCTGCCCCCTGATCTCTTACAGCATCCCCATGCATCCCCGCATGTGCCCACCGTGATCCTTCACGACTCCGGGGCGGCAAAGAGGGGGGTGATGACTAGGGGGGGGGGGACATCATGGCGGGGGCCACGATATCTCCCAGATCTCACGGCGCCTCTTCTTACTTCGTTACGTCCGTGGCTCCCCCGCTGGGCCGCTCGGGTCGGGCGAAAGGGGGGTTTGGGAAAGGGGGGGGTACGAAATCTGCTGCATGCAGCTGGTTTCGGCCCGACTGAGGGGCCCATTCCTCGATACATGGACGCCTCCCGGCGCCGGGAGGCGCCAGGAAAATCAGCTATGTGAGCTGATTCTCATACCCCCCCTTTGCTATCCCCCCCTTTCGCCCGACCCGAGCCGCGCACATGCCGCCGGTCATGATTTGCACACCCCCCTCTTGGACACCCCCCTCTTGGCCGCCCCCGAACGACGGGAGAAGGGGGGGTGGTGGCGTGTTGCCGTCGGCTCGGTGCTTCTTCTGGAGGGGAGCAGGGTCCCAGGCCGGAGGCAGCCAGGGCCCTGGGTAGGGGGAGCCGGCAAGCGAGGGGGCCCCGGAGCCCCAAACCCAGACCCCCTCGAGTAATGAAAAAATCACGACGGGAAGATTTTCCTAATTTTCGGCCTCTGGGGGCCCTCACCGGGCCTCGGGAGCGTCAAAAAACGACTCAGGACGAAAAACCGGTCCCGGGGAATGGGTCCGGACCTCTGGGGGTCGCGTCATGAAAAAATCATGACGTCGGGGGTCTGGGAAAAGGGGTCGGAATCACCAAGCCTGGTTTGCCGCAGCGGGTGTTTCTTCGAGTGGCGACAGCGTCGGCCGGCGGAATGGGGCGGAGGGGTGGGGGCGTCCCCAGATGCACATCACTAAACCACGCGCGTCCCACTAAACCCAGTCCTGACAACGCCCCAGACCCTAGACGTCATGATTTGTTCATACCGCTGGCCCCCAGAGGTCTCGACCCAGTCCCGGGGACCGGTTTTTCATCCTGAGTGCTGATTTGAAGGACCCGAGGCCCCGCAAGGGCCCCCCAGAGGCCGAAAATCCACACAAACTGTCCGTCGTGTTTTTTCACGACGCGACGGGGCCTGGACATGTCCCACTAAACCCACCCTTGCCAACGCCCGACCTGGGCCCGACGATCGAAGCCTCTGAACCTCTCAGCGGCAGCGATGGGAGGGGCTAGGCATAGGGGGGGACGCATCGACTCCCAATCGCCCATGGATCGCTACTGGGGGGTGGATGGCCCCACCCCGCCCAGGAACGTGCGGATTCGCTCGGCGATGCGTCGCCGAATTCCAGGTCGTTGTCCCCCCCTGTCGTCCGACGAAGGCATCTATACACCACCACCGTGCCAGGCCAGGGCCATCCTGGGCCCCAGGATGGTGTATAGGCCCTTTTGGCCTCGGCCAGGAGGGGGCGTATACACCATCCTGGGGCCCAGGATGGCCCTGGTGGTGTACAGATGCCTCCTGCGAACATCGGTGCCTCTGCACCCGGAAGGCGCGGCTGGAGGCGGCGCTCCGCGAGCTGGGCCCGCCGCCGGAGCCGCGGCCCTGCGCCGAGGCCGCGGGCGAGAGCGACGCCGCGGTCTTCGACGCGGCGTTCCGGCGCTCGCGACCGCTGGTGGTGCTCGGGAGCAGCGGCACTGCGCGGCCCGCGGCGGTGAGGTAGGT